AGACGGGGATTCAGACGGCATCAAATTACGCCATCCAAATGAGGCCTTGTCGCTCCATTCCCACAAAAGAGAGGAGGAAAACAAAAACAAAAAAAAAAAGAAAGAAAAAAAAAAAGAAAAGAAAAGAAAAGAGTACAACAATGGAAGAGCAGCGCGTTGGCTCAAATGTGCACACAAAACATTCCCTCGCACCTAAAAAAAAAAAAAAAAAGGAAAACACCGCACGCGTCCTGCCCTGCAGCTCACAAGATCACTGGAGATAATAACAAATAAGTCATGAAAACAAAAAAATGCACACATCCGTCCACTCAACGCAAATAAACGGATGAATGCAACGGAACCATCACACATTTGTCTACTCCCCACCACTCCCTCTCCGCCTGGCCGCTCATCTCCTCCTCCCGCCTCCCAAATAGAAAAAAAAAAAAGAGGGACACACACACACACAGATGCATATATATATATATAGCGGGGGTTAAAGTAAAAAAAATTCGAACGTCATTGGAGCCAACACTCCGTTAAGTAAATGAAAAATGATAATAAAAGAGAGAAAAGAAAAAAAAAAAAAAAAAAAAAAAGAGGGCGTGGCTGTCGTTTTCTTCCGTTTTTGAAATAAAATAAAATCGTCTTTGTTTTTTTTTTTATTTATTTCGTTCCTTCTTTTCACGTAAAACATCAAAATAAATAAATAAATAACAGTTGTTGTTGTTGTTTTTTTCTTCCCACACAATTCCCCACTTGCAATTCACATACATACACACATGCACATTCCCTCCTCTCCAACCCACTGAGCAGAGAAGTGGCCGTAACGAAAGCCGCGCTGCAAACACACATGCACAATGGAAACAAAACAAACAAAAATAAAAATCAAAACAAAAAACGAAAGGGAGGGCTGTTGTCTCGATCACTGTTTGCCATTTTCTGCGTGATCGATGCAAATGTCCGCTGCTTGCTGCCTCGCCTCTTCTTTGATGCGGCGTCGCTCCGCCAGCGTCCTGCGACTGAAACGCAGGTACGAAATATGCACGTACACACTGGAGATGAAGGATGTGCAGTTGATGCCCAACATCAGCAACAGCGGCATGAGGACGCAGCGGCGTTGCAGGCACACAAGGGTGCCAACCTTCTCCGCCTCACGGGTATACCACTCGCCGTACGCAAACCGGTTCAACAGAATCGTCGAGAACACCGTTGACAAAAAACAGAAATTGTAGTGCTTGGCAACGTCCTTGGCGTATATGGTGCGGACCATCAGGACGATCACGCCAGCACGGAGCCCGTTGGCCAGCGAACCCAAGACGTACGGCAATGGAAGGGCCACTTTTGGCACCGTGAGGATGAGCACCAGCACGATGACCATGATAAATGATGGAACAAAAAGGGCAGCTGTCATGGGAATACGTTCCTCCGGCTTCTTTTTTTGTGACCAGACCTCAAACGCACTCATGAGCAGGCGGCCAACAGCACTGCCAACGCCGTCCAGCACGGTCAGAAGAATTCTCAATGATGGCGACACCGGCTCACCGGAGAGTGCGGCAAAAATGTAACTCGCGTTTAGCATCAGAACAGTTTCCGCACCCACTGTGGCAAACAACGTCCACAATACGCCCCACAGCCTTGGCGTGCAGATACTTTGCAGGAACGTCGTCTGGTACTGCGGTGCAATGTAATCCACATCGGTCTCCACACCCACCCGGGCGTCTTCACTTGTACTACCATTCTCCATCAATGTCTCAAAGGGTTCGGCTCGTTCATTCGGGTTGTTGGCGTCCGACTTCGCCATTTCCTTATCATGTTGGCAACGACGACGTCGCCAATTCGACCACCACTCCCGGTCAAGGATCCTCAGTGGAAGCGGCATGATAATGGGGGGTACACAGACCAGCACAATGGTGGTGAGTGCAAACGCCAGCCTGTAGCGCTGCCCAAGTTTAAGGTAGGAAACAAGAGCCCCTTCCAACGGCAAATAGACAATGAGTATAATCTCAAAGAAGATTGCGATCGCAAAACGGGGAATGGGGGTTTTCTGGCGCAGGTACTGTCCCCGGGTGGCAAGACGCTTCTTCTTCTCCTCTTCGCTTAAGTGCGACTGCTGGTAGCCGGTCAGGTGGTAGTGAGGCAAACGAACGACGAACATGCATGCAACAGCAATCACCACCACCAGTACCATCAGAAAGTAGAAGAAGCGGTCCGGATGCCCGTTAAAGAAGGCAAGCTGAATTGTTCCAACAATTGGAGAGCCCAGTCCATTGAATGTCTTCGCTACCGCCACAATGGCTCCCCGACTGGATGGAAATATGCTGAGCATCGTCATTTGAATGGCAATATCAAACATGATGGTGCCAATGTTTAGGATGGCATTAAAAACACTGATACGCAGCACCGTGCCGTAGATATATCCATTAAACGACAACGCCATCAGGAGAGAACCGAGCGGAAAGAACACCGCCGCAATGCAAAAAAGAGGCACGGGGCCAAAGTGGTCATAAATAAATCCGTATGGCAGCGTAAAATAGCAGAATACGGTACCCACCGTGCCGACAGTTGACAGATCTCGCTGTGTTAGATGGTACTTCTTCTCAAGTTCACCGCTGAAGAGGTTAAAGAAATGCGCAAAGGAGGCTGCGATGGAGCCAAACACGGCCACCGAAACGATGCTGAACCGCTTCGCCTCGCTCAGTGGCTCACGATTGTCATGGAGGGCCTCAACCACCACCAAATCGGCAACATTTTTGTTACGGGCGTGCGCGTCATGTGCGTCGTTTTCAGGCTCTGTATTTGTGCCTTCCAGCTTACTCATTGAGGATTACAGGAGCGTGTGATGCCAAAACGGACTAGGGGATCAAGGTAATAACACAAACAGAGAGAGCAAAGGAGAAAGAAAGTGGTTTAAAGCCCTTCAGGAATAAAAAAAAGAAGGAAATACGGAAAAGAAAATAAGCACATGCATGTATACACAAATACATGCACACGGGCAGAAGGATATCTTGATATATGGAGAGAGAGGCCGCGTGACGCTTTCAAAGCCATGCCACTAAAGCAGAATCCCGTCCTCGGCAGACCAACCGCTTGGCAGGTGCCTTGGTCGCATCCCCTGCAGAAAGGCGGTACGCCACCGGTAGATAAACTCTCCAATGGCGTGGTCCCGGCATTTGCAGGCGTCCGTATCGTACTTCTCAAGAAGTGCCTGAACAATAAGAAAGCCGTGGCTGTCCACAAAAAGGTTTTCTTCCAATCTCTCCCCATTCTCCTGCGGTCCTGGCGATCCCCCATCTTCGTGCCTTTCGCTGCGACGTGTCGTACAGCTGAACATCTCGCGTAGTTTTGGGTGCTCACGCAGCCAGAAGCGCGTCAACACGACGCGGGGCGATATGCCCTCCTCGAGGATGCATCGGACTGACTCTTTCGACGCTGCATCAGCAGTGAAGAGCGCCATCCGCTCCGATGCACACTTCGCAAAAGGGTACCGTTGGGCGTGCAGACGCATGTACGTCGCTAACTGCCTTGCACGTCCTGGCGGCATCACTGACGGCTTCGCCGGCTTTTCTTTGACCGCCGCTGTCTGATTTACCCCCTCGTCCTCCTCAATACAACCCGCTGCAACAGTTGTTTCCTCGTAGGCAACACGCAATGCCTTGGCATATTTAAAAATATTGAGAAGCACTTCCCGGTGCTTCTCGATTTCAAGGTATTCCTGCATGATGCGCATCTTCTGGGCAGGTGAGAGTAGGTACTTCCTGTCACTGGTTGCCGTGTCGTTGTTGCTTCTGCTGCTGCTGCTGCTGTTGCTACGACTTCTAGCAATATTCTCAACGGCACTGCCATCGTTGCTAATATTAGTGGGCATTTGTTGCTGCAGCTGTGCGCGGCGCAATTCGGATTCCTTTGGTGTGAGGTGACCCAGAGGTACACCAAAATCCACCGCAACGCGCCGCCGCTCCTCGTCGTACAGTCGTCGGGCCCTAGCAAAGCACACGGTACACAAAAGCAAGAGATCGTAGCTATTGTGACTCATGTAAACACTGGGAAAATATTTCCTGTAGGCCAAAGGCACAACAGCAAACCGCACCAGTTCCTTTGTCTCTCCACAGACAACGCACTGATTCTCCTTCGCCCGGCGGAAGTAATCCAAGTTGCGCCGAATGTGGGCGTCGTTGTACTTGGAAAAATCGGGACTAAAATTGAGTTGAATGGCGGCAATCTCTTTCTCCGTTTTTTGTGTCTCCTCAACAGCAGTCTCCCTCCATTCTATTACTTTTCCAAGACCCTTCTTGTAAACGTACCATTCCGCCTTGGATTTGTCCACCGTGAAGACGAGACGCATCTCGGCGTTTTTTTTTTTTTTTTTTTTTTTTTTTTTCTTCTCTTACCAGTCGTAGTAACTACACCTCAATTGTGCAGCTCTGGTAAGCGTACGAAGGAATTCAGCAGCAAGGATAGCCTTACTCCGCGGGCAGCCATTATAGAATGGCTCCAACATCTGCCCTTCCGGCCCGTAAAACTAAGTAACAACTACTCATCGGGTTTGAAGCATGAACAGCAGGCGCTTAGCTTCCTCTCTAGCAAAGAGTACTAGACCCTGGCACCACGTTGAGGTGGCCGGCTGAGCCAGGGGCATCTCGGCGTCGTACACAAAGATGTTATCGTAGTACGGCTTGGCCCGGCCTTTGCACCACCACGCGGCACGGCGGTTCCCCGCAGGCTTCTCCACCCGTGCATTCCGAGAAGTTGTTGCCTTCAGTCCATCCAGGCTCTGCAGAATGGATTTCACGTTCCACTTCGCATCCCGCACCCCACTGACGCCATGCGACTCGTCGTTGTCGTCGATGTTGTCGCTCGCGATGAGGTGTGACTCCCTACACATGCCAAGACATACGTCAAAAGATGCTTCTGCATCCGCTGCGGCGTATTCCAACTGTAGCGGAGAAAGTGCCCCGAGACTGCTGCCCCAATCACTGCATGTCACGAGAATATCTTTCTTGAGTTTCCTGCTAGCAAAGCGAGCAGCAAAATCCTTCAGGCTGCGCAGCCCCATCACATCCTCAGCAGTGGGAAAAAGGTGTCGGGCCAGCACGGCAAGTTCAACACAGGGGCAGAGTCGGAATGCGGTGTAGTCATGCTGCAACTTCTCCTGATCGCCAATTATACCCACTCCCACCTTTGCAACACGCTTATTTGCCAGGAGGGAGATCAAGTTGTCCAGGACAACGCCCAGTGTCGAGGAAACGGCGGCAACCTCAGAGACGTCAATGCAATTCTCCGGACGCGTCATGCAAACAATGTCGCACAGCCTGATTACAAAAGTGACAGAAAAGGTACTAAGCTGCACCACTGCCACGGGCTCCACTGAGTGTGCACATCTCACTCGCACCCTTTCCCTGGCATCAGCAGCAGTGCCCGCGTTGCTGTTCTCCACCGTCGTCTCTTCTCCTTCCTCCAATACAGGTTTGGGTCTCGACGTCCACTCCATATCAAACCCAATAAAGCCACATTCCATTGCTTCTTCCTGCAGCTGCTTCCATGCTGCGTTATAGTTTTCCTCGTCGACCCGCACCCAGGCAGGATCTACCACAACGACTTGTCGCGGCGGTGCAGGACACACCATTTTCTCTCTTCTCGCTTGAACCACCAAGGAGAAACCAACCAAAAGAGAAAGCTGCAGTGGCAAAAACAACAACAAAAGGAAAAAGTTGGAAGAGATCCGTTGGAATCTCGTCCATAAAGTCGCTGGATACAAGAAACATACACGCATGCAAAGTTTACCTCCATCCCTTAAATGAATCCCCTGTACACGATTGAAAGACGCACAGAAACGCATGCACGCACGGAAACAAGTATTAATCACATCAAAAAATGGCATAATTCCCTATTCAAACAAACAAATTAAGACGAACGTTCTATTGAAACGATTGAGAAGAGAATAATCCGTATTATTTTAAAAAATCCACAGGCCACACCATTCATTTCGCATGCCCCTTCTGTCTCCCCCCCCACACACACAAAAAAAAAAAAAAAAAAAAAAAAAAAAGAACAGTAAAAAAAGGCGCTTGCTCCTGTAATATTTGCCTCGTGTCCTCCTAAAAATTAAGCTCTTGCTCCTATAGCAGACTCAAGCCACAGATGGGCCGCTTTATATCGCATTTCTCCTGAGCCAAATGAAGGGTGCAGCACTTCTTCTAACAGAGATCGCACCAAAAAGTAAAAAAGAAAAAAAAAAAAAAAAAAAAATAATAATAATAATAATAAAACATAAAAATAAAAATGATAATGATTGCACCATAAAATTACAAAAATGGGGAGAGAACAAAGTGAATCTCGCGCAGCTACATGTCTCGCAATTCATCTACTTCCAATAGACATGGCGACGCCACCTCTGCAGAACTTGTTGCAGCGACTACTTCCCGCCACCGGAGTTCGTCGCTGCTGACAAAGCGCGGCAATATGGGACGGTTCACCACCTTCGACGCCATCGTCAGGGCCCGCAACGTCTGGCGGCTCTCGCTAACGCTTTCCACTGCAGAAGAAAGGGTACCAAAAATGGCGGTCAGTGCATTCCCACCAAAGACATCAGAGAGTAGAGCAGTCTCCAGGGATTTGTTGTACTGCACTACACCTTGTGAATCCTGGAGAGATTCCAGCACCGCGACAATATGTCCAAAAGAACGGTTCGCAAACCGAGCACTGGCCACATCCTCCTTCTGTGTAGGAAGGGGCCCGGGACCACACAAATCCACGAGTGTCAGACGTCCCACTGTGGACGTCTGTCGCACTCTGTGAAGAATCACACACTGAATCTGAATCCATATGTGACAACGAAGATCACGCGGCTTTCGTTTTCTTAACCTTTCCACGGTGGAAAGAATATCGGCGCCAGTCGTCTCGACAAATGTTACACCTATAGGAACAGTGAAACCGTAGGCATCGCGTCGAATCTCAGTCACGGTGGAGCCCGTCTCACAGTCAATCGCCCCACAGGCACCAATCGCCAAAGCACCCACCTTGTAGGTCAAGGCGTACTTGTCCACGGGGAATCGTTGAGAGTGAATACAAAGGGTGTTTATGGCTAATGGAACAAATGTATCAAAAATGACTGTCTTGCCAGTGTAAATCGCACCTAGAGTAACGTAGGCCA